ATACGCTCCCTGCTACACTGCTTGCTCCCGCCGATCCACTAACATCAGAACAATATAAAATCTTGATCACCTACTATAACCCTCAAGTTTGACCTAAATTCAAACTTGGTCAAAAAGTCAGTGGTCAACGGAGTAAACAAAAGTCAAAGTCCAAGGCAAGTTGAGTACGCCCTACGTACTCAACTTACGCCCCGCGTACATGGGATGGATTAGTACAGCCAACGTACGAAAATTACGCCCAGCGTACTCGAGCTGATTCCATCCTTTCCATTAAGCACTTAATCCCTTAAGGACTTTTCACCTAAACTCAGATCTAGCCTCAAAACATTGTCTTAAGTCATAAAGTTTCCACCTTTATGACTTTCCATGGCTAAGAAGGGTCCAAAAGCTAAAACCCTAACTTATTAATCCATTAAGACATCACAACTCTTGCATGGAATGGATAGAAGGACCAATATCACATTTTTATGGTTCCTAATAGCTCTACAATGGATAAAGTTTCCAACTTTATCCAATAGAATCATCCTAACAAACAAGATCTAGTCTTTAAGTCATAAAGGGGCCAAAAGTGCATCTTTTTTTAACTTAATCTATTAAGTCCAAGCCCCCAACCTTTAGATTTGAATAAATATGATGTTTAGATGTATAAAGTTTCCAACTTTATCCATAACAAGGTCACAAACTTCCAATATCTAAACTTTATGCACTTAAAGTGACCAAAAGCTCATAACACCCAAAACTAGCTAGACCTAACAATTTCATCATCAAGATTCAAACTTTATACCTCCAGAAGAAAGATCAAGGTGAAAAATGTCTGGATCTACAAGCTCCAATGCAAGCAACACTTATTAAATGAGTTCTTTCTTCTCAAAGGTGCACCAAGAACACTCCAAAGCACTTAAAAAACATCTTCTTTTTGCTCACAAAGCTTAAACTAGGGTTAGGGTTTCAAGAGAGGGTGTTCGAGAGGTGCAGGCTGAGAATGGAGTGGGTTTGGGGAAGTTAATGAGCTTAAATAGGCTCAAACCAAGAAAATAGGGTTTGAGCACTGATCACATACGCCCAGTATACTCCCCGTACACCTAGCGTACACGGCTAACCCAAAAATCATCCTAACTTGAAACGGTCGTAACTTCTTCATTCCAACTCCATTTTCGACGTTCTTTATATCCATGAAAAGGCATCGAAGAGCTTTACAATATTATCTAAATATCTTGGACTAAAAACTTCTCGAATAAAACTCCATATTTCATGCAAGAACCCGACCTATGACTTTTCCCGTTTTACCCTTCGGCCTAAAACACAATTCAAAGGTTTAGATCTCATAATCATCATTGCCTCCTTCCAAAAGGTCTAAACATTACCTCCTTAAGGCCCAAAACCTTTATACAATCGACTTCCGGCCCACGACCGTGAAATAAGAAATGACGGGACACAAGATGTTATATTGTGTGTTTTTGTATTTCCTGTCATGTCAAAACTCAAAAGTAGATAAGCTACTTAAAATTAGAAACTTCTTTTAACAGTAAAAAGAAAATCTAATAAATCGTCATAACATGTTAAGTATAAATTATGAATTACAAAGCTAAATAGTACCAAATGAAGATATCTACAAACGTAAACATAAAAAAAAATGAAAATCATTTTAAATTATTATTGTATGTAAATTTTAATTTTTCTTTTTTTATTTTACTTTGTTACGTATCTATCATCTCAATTATTTTATACCTCTTTAAATAATTACTACACAAATTGTTCGGGGAACTTCCGGATTTCGTCGCCAATTTGTAGTTAATGTCTGTCGCTACTCCATCGCTGATGAGTTATTTAGCTACGGAATAAAAGCTCATAAAACTAGTGGATTCCATCGCTCACGACATTTTTATCATTAGTTTTGCTGTTCTAAATCTACAAGCAAAATTAACAAAGATGAAATTCACTGTACTTATTAAATTTAAAACTCTAACTACTAAATTAAATAATAATATTAGACTAGGAAATCAAGTGTCAAAGTATACATCTATTTCGAAGTGTCAATGTATACATTGATTTCAAAGTATTAAGACCAATTTATAAAAATCAGATGTGAAAGTCTAATAAGTTGGGTAGGTTACATCCTTGGGTGAGTTTTAGAATATCCTTATAAATTTCTTGTTTTTTGGCCTCAATTTCTTCATGTTCCACCCTAACCTCATCCTTTATATCCTCATGAATACGTTCAACGATAACCTACAAAGAAAAAGACGTTGCTATTTGAAAAGGGTATCAACATTTTCAAAACCCCAATATAGAATTTCTGGATATATCAAGGCTATGAGTCCAACTGTAAATTGAAAAGGTATTTGGAATATTGTTAGCATTCACCATCATCCATGATGTGCATGAAGAAAAGCTCAAAGAAACGATCCCAAAAAAGATACCTAAAAATAGGTATAATGGAATTTCTGAAACAAAAACAAGGCATATGTAATTACTGGATTTTGTAACACCCAAAATTCAGAAAAAATAGCAAGTACAAAATTTCTAATAATTATTAGGTAAATACATTAAATACCTAAAAAATGTAAATCAAATTAAATCAACTAATCCTAGCTATATTCCTAATTATGTGAAATCTATTTATAACAAATCAGATTCGACAACACCATAGTGGTGACAGTGGATCTCAACAATTCAGTTGTCATAAACTTCAAGGGATAACCACGTCAATCATACATTCGTAACTCTCTATTGCTCAAGATGTAAAAACGTTTTAGGATGCAATCAATAAAAATTACTTTGACTTTGGGAAATGCCTCTTAACTCTCAAGTAATCGAAAATCAAGAAGTTGATATGTTATATATATGAAAATGATTATGGTAAAGTTGAAGAAGATGTTAGATTAGAGGCTCACTTGCGATTACCTAGCAAGGTAAAATTGTAATTTTAAAACATAAGGATAGTTAATAAATGAAAATATACTGGTTATTGAACAAAAATCATAATCTGGATTAGGGTGAGGATTTAAACCTGAAAAACTTCATGCAAGGCTTTAATTTGCTTCCCACCAAATTTGATTTTTTTTACAACACATTTAGGTGCTGTTTGTTTTAGAAGTGGTTAAATGTCTTTTGTCTTTTTCCATGTTTGCGGAAGAAGACGTGCACTTGAGAAACGTCTACCCGTCAGAAGGGAAAAGTGCTCAAAAAGTACTTTTGTAGAAAAACAAACGAGGCCTTAGTGTTTTCTTTTAGTTAGATTACACTTGCATCTTTTGTTTACATACTACATAGAGAGGAAAAGAGAGAAGTGGGGTGCCATCTAACTTTGTCGTAGGGGTGGTGGCGGCGGAAATCGACGATGTTGGGGGTGGGGGTGAAAAAAATTGGCAATGTTAGGAGAAAATAGGTTAAAGAGAATGACATATTGAAATTAGGGTAAGATGTTTTCAGGAGGATAATATTGGAGGGAGGCGGGGGAACGAAAATATTGAGAGGGAACTGAAAATTAGCCAAAATATGGCTGGGAATAGGAAATTAGCGACGGGTTTTCCAATATTTCTGGAGTAGCATTTAGGGTTTAGGGAGACTTCTAATTTCCGTCATCGATCCCTAGCTAATCCGTCGCTGATTAGCTACGGATTTTTTCCGTCGGTGATACCTCATTTTCTAGTAGTGAGGTAGTAATGAGAAGCTTGCTCATAAAAATTTGAAGGGTTTGAGATGTTGGTGCTTGCTCAATTCCTTTGCAGGTTTGCATTCTAATTTGGAAAAGGCCAAATTTTTTTGTATATTTGAAGTTGAGATGTTCTATACCTAAATCTTATATCAACAATGAATACAACCGTGTTTCATATGTAAAAGTAAGAATAATCTAACAAAAACTTACATTCCTTCACATATTTAAAAAGTTGAGGATGGAATGATTGCCGAAGTGTAAGCTCTTACCATGTTTTTACTAACTTTTAGTTTGTTAGTCAATAAAAAAACCATGATATGTTTCTTTTTTCCTTTATTATTTAGCTTTCCCTGATATTGATTTTAGAGGAAATCAATCCTTTTTGTATGACTTCAGTCACTGGTGTGTTATCGATGGATCAAGGAAAGGAGGTGTGAATGTGGTGTTTGTATGTTATTTTTCCGAATATTGATGTTGTGCTACGACTCATAAGACCGATGTTAGTTTTCCACTTCCAGTTTTATGTGTGCGTCAGCTGCAATGAACTTTTATTGTTTTTTAAATAGCAATGTAGTTTTATTGCTTTGTTTATAATGGATTTCTACTTTGATGTCGACTATATTAAAGCCTATGCATATTTGTATAGTAAACTTTCTGCACTTCTCACATTATTATTTGTAATTCTGTGATCTAAATCATATAAGTGTAAAAAAAAACCCGAATTGGGGCGAAGCCCAGACTTTTTTTACTAGTTACCAATTATGTTTTCAAGCTTTCACATATTGAAAGATTAGACCATTTATATTTGCAATTACTTTTCAGTTTATATGCTTTCAAAAGTGGTCTCTACCTCAATAATTAATTTATGTGTATGTTTTAATAATATATCTATGTTTACATACCACTAACTTTAATATATATTACGTTTTAATACTATAACTATAATTACATAATAATAACTCATATATATCACTAAAAAGAGAAAATGTATCTGGATGGTCTTATACTCTTATGTCAATCTGGGCTTGCAAAGAATTGACATATGCCAATTTAAATTGACAGATGCGATAGGGAAGGTCTTAATAACATCACACTAATTATAAAAAGTTGTATAAGTCATTGAAAAAAACGACTTCCAATAAAGAATAAGATGTATTTGGAAAAAAGAGTGGGGGTCTACTTAAATCTCTTTTTTACAATATATATATAGATATATATATATATATATATATATATATATATATATATATATATATATATATATATATATATATATATATATACACCACGTATGCATGTCCAATAACCATACCCTCTATCTTTAGACATCATTTTCTTGACAATGGAAGCTCAACATATTATTCAGTTAAAAAATCCCTCCTTGTTCCTGTTCCCCAAAAGCTCTTTTTCCACAACTGTCAAATCACCAGCACGCTTGAGCCGTAGATTCCGCCATGTATTATTAGCTTCCCACCCCTCTGCCGCAGCCCCTAAGCGGGAGAAAGATGCAAAAAAACGGGTCGTCATTACAGGTATGGGTCTCGTCTCTGTGTTTGGAAATGATGTTGACACATACTACGATCGTCTCGTAGCTGGGGAAAGCGGAATCAGTTTAATAGATAAATTTGACGCATCAAAATTCCCAACACGATTCGGTGGACAGATTCGTGGATTTAAGTCAAATGGTTATATCGATGCAAAAAACGACTCTAGACTTGATGATTCTCAACGCTATTGCCTTGTTGCTGGGAAAAAAGCTCTTGAAGATGCTGGTCTTGGAAGCCACGAACTCCTCAAGGTTTGTAATTTCTTAATGTTTTTTCATGTATCTAAATGTTTTATCGAATATGGGTGTACATGCAGATAGATAGGGAACGTGCTGGCGTTCTTGTTGGATCAGGAGGTGGAGGCGTTTCAGTATTTTCTGATGCTGTGAGGTGTCTCACAGAGAGAGGTTATAGGAAGATTACACCATTTTTCGCTCCTTATAGTCTAACAAACATGGCCTCAGCTGTTCTTGCTATGCATCTTGGATTTATGGGACCAAACTACAACGTCTCAGCTGCTTGTGCCACAGCCAACGCTAGCTTTTGTGCTGCTGCTAATCATATTCGTTTAGGGAATGCTGATTTGATGATTTCTGGTGGGGTCGATGCTGGCCTTATTCCAGTGGAATTGGGAGGCTTTGTTGCGTGTAAAGCATTGTCTCGAAGAAACCATGATCCCCAGACTGCTTGTAGACCATGGGATAAAGAAAGAGATGGGTTCGTTTTGAGCGAAGGTGCTGGTGTTTTGGTAAGCTTATTTACGTGCCATGTTTGATGAACTTATCCTTAATTTCAAACTGCGTTCATTTTAGTGCTTAAATGTGAATGTTGATTTGCGTTGTTTTAAGGTGATGGAAAGTTTAGAGCATGCAATGAAAAGGGGTGCACCAATACTTGCTGAATTCTTGGGAGGTGCCGTAAATTGTGATGCTTATCATGTAACCAATCCGAGACCTGATGGATTCTCGGTTTCATCTTGCATTCAAAGAAGCCTTGTAGATGCTGGTGTATCGACAGAGGAGGTACTTCAAATTTTATTTTAAATTTTTTTTCGTTTTATGGTCATTCATATATTAGATTTTTGAAACAAATCTAATAGGTGAATTACATCAATGCTCATGCAACCTCAACTATCATTGGGGATCTGGCTGAGGTAAATGCTCTAAAGAAGGTGTTTAAGAACACTAAAGGGATCAAAATGAACGCAACCAAGGTGAACAAGCTAAAAGTCCACTTTGAGTGCTCAGTTTCAGCAACATATTGACATTATTTTGTTGTTTTTGTGATCAGTCTATGATTGGACATAGTATGGGAGCAGCTGGAGGTTTGGAAGCCATTGCTACAATAAAAGCGATTCAAACAGGATGGTTGCATCCCACCATTAATCAATTTGTATGTGCTTGTTTATTACATTAAATTTTCTTTTCCTTTGATTGTTTCACTTTGATGATCTTTGAATCCTCATTGTAACCGTAGAACCCAGAACCTGCAGTTGAATTCGATACTGTTGCAAATCGAAAGCAACAACATGAAATCAACGTTGGTGAGTTTGTTTCCCTTTCTCCATGGTTCAGTTGCCATTTTAATTAATTAGTTCACTTATTAAAACTCTTTTTGGATGCAGCCATCTCAAATTCGTTTGGTTTTGGAGGACAAAACTCAGTAATAGCATTTTCTGCATTTAAACCGTGATATGATCATATTGAACGTGCACCCGATCTTAATTTGGAGAAACTACATTCCCTATAGTTCCATACATTTGACCAAATTGTAAAACCCGCAAACGCATCATCTCAATACTAATAATAGAATAGTTTTAATCTCCTTTTGTCATGTGTCACTTTAATATACATCCACATTAATATTATGTCATGTGTCAAAGAGACATATTATGCAAATCATTATCACAATTAATGAGTTTAAAGTTTTAAATAATAAATTTTAAAATCTTGATAGGAACATTTACTTTTTTTAATTATATGTTAAATTTGAAGTTATAACTAAATTTAAATTTTGATATATTTCTTAATTAATCATTTATTTAAAGTTATTTATTTAAAATAATTTATTAATAATTATAAATTTTTGTTATAAAAATTGAATTAATTTTATAACCGTGGTTTCCACGGGTTATAAACTAGTTACCAAATATAGCAGTTTCATGTGAATATTTTTTTTTTTTTTTGAAGCTGACCAGATGTCATGAACTCACTAATTTAACAAATAGCAAGTGGAAAAGTATTACGGAAATTTGAAATTGACAAAACACTTTTTTTTGAAATAGCAAATATATTAAATCAAGGCCCAAATCTAGCAAGAAGCTAGAGGGTACAAATAAAGATTACAAAACAATTAAATGAATTATAGAGAACTAAAGGGGTAGTGCAACTGCTATTCCCACTTATAGTTTCCCAATTTACCCTTCAGTTTTAACCAAAAAATATCACCAATTTGACATATTCCGCCCCTTTAACTGTATTAGTAAACACCTGTTGGAACAACCTTTCACACATCTATATGTATATAGGTTTTTTAATAATTATATATAGGTAAATGATGGAAAAATCAATCCATTGACCATTCATGATTAATTTAATTTAAAAAGTGGGGTAGAATGATGAGTTACAATGCAACCAATCTAAATATAACCTTGCAAAAGGATAATCCTCGAGAGGTTGATCCACACACAAGATTTTCATGTCCTTGATTGGTTTATGCTTCACTAGAGAGCATTCACAATATTGAATTTCATAAAATTCAACGGATTAGCATATTATTTTTCTACATTTTATATAACTGTTGGGGTTATTTTGTGTTGTGCCAATAATTATTGTATTGTTTTTTTCATCTTTTGTAACGGGCTGGGCCTGTCCACCCGATATTTATGTGCTAGGGTTAGAGTATAAATAGTACATACATGCACCGTGTTTTGTCAATGATCTTGTAACCCTACTCTGCCTTTACAATAGCATTTCTTAGTCGAGCTCTTCTAAGGCAGTGCTTTTTAATCATTCAGCACAACTTTGATCTCTATTCTTTTTGTTTGATTTTTCTACATGTTTTGAATCTATTGGTCTTATAGTTTTAATCTTATCAATTGGTATCAGTACGGGAGACTGTGTAATCTATACGCATCTCTTCTATTAAAGAGCAATTAGGGATTCCGTTTTTATTGGATTTATTCTTTGTCGTCTTCATCGTTGTTAAGGAATGTTGACGTTGGATCTAGATCTTGATTCTACCCTAAACATGATTTCAGTTTTACACATCTGGTTCTTTACATGTTTAAGTGAATCGACAACATGCAGCCTGAAGATCAACACCCGTTCTCCTTTAATCTTTCAAGAAACATCAGATCCACTACCAGGATCCCCATTCTCTTCCCTCACGACTATGAAGTCTGGGCTTTGCATTTTGAAGATTATGTTCAAGGACTTGAAGATCATGGTTCCTTAATATGGGAAGCCTTGAAGGTGCAGATGTTTGAACATACTGGTACAAGAAACGTTGTTAAAATTCAAGCCAATTACAATAATCTTCTTCTTCAAGTAAAATACATTCCACAGGATGAAAGAGATAAGTTAATCAGCAATGTCAAAGCAATGAGAATTATTAGGTTTGCTTTGCCTCCAGACACGTTTCGTCTGGTGAGTTCCTACGATACAACGAAAGGAATATGGGACAGGCTGAAAGAACTCTACTCGAGTGATGCTGATCTTGAGCATTTTATTCAGACTCTACTTCTGTCAGAATTTGGAGCCTTTGTTCAGAAGCCTGAGAAAAACTGGATCAAAGGTTCAACCGGTACAATCATCTTTTAAATAGGATGATGAAGCATAAGATAGGACGTGAACTGATTGAACAAAAGGTCACGTTCATGAACGGGTTGAAGTAAAAATGGAAAGATGTGGTGTCTACTGTTAAAGCACACAAACAGTTTAAAAGTTACTCCATTGCAAAACTTGTGGGGATTCTTAGGTCCCACGAGGATGAAGTGGAAAAAGAAGCAAAGATTTTTTCTGTCACACCCCCGAACCGGAACGGCGGAAGCATCCGGGGGCGGATGACGTCATGTACATTACCATACTAGTTGAATATAGATGAATCATAGCAACACAAACATCATACATTGAGATTACAAGTTTACAAACTTCGCTTACTCAAAAGTTAAATACAAATAACTGAAAAGTAGAAAAACATGATGCAGAGATGTTGGCCCTCAAAATGTTTTGAACACTTATTTACTGATTTCCTGAGAATACAAGTGATTTTGAAAAGTGTTTACAATTAAGTTGGTGAGTTCATCAGCATTTTGTAATAAAAGGGTTTGTAACTGGTTTGCGTAAAATGGTTTTGTATACTTCCAGAAAATCCGATATTTTCTTTAAAAACGAGCTGTAAGTCTTATACCCAAGACTAAAAATGTATGTATTTCCTTTGTATCCTTTCCTTGTAAAATGATAATGTATGTTTCCAAAAAATCCAATATTTTCTTAAATATGGACTGCAGTCTTAAAACTCTAAGACCGGAAATGTAAGTAATGTTGTACTGAAAGATAGTATGTAGTTGTATCTTTTCATGAAACGGATGAAGTGTAAGCTTCCCATAAACCGAGTAGTTTTGTTAATCCCTATGTGAGTTGTTATAACCATGCTTAATATGACTGATATGCCTGAACGACCTTCTTCAAGCGTCAGAATTGGTAGACATTTGTCACCATAGACTTGTCGGTCTAGCTGTAGCGAACAGTTGAGGTGTGGGGTTTTCAATCCCGTATAGATCTATACACAACTATCTCGCTCTCCCTCCAGGAGAATCTGGTTATAATGCAGGACTTAAAGTGTACACTAGGTAGGTACGGTGAAGAGAATGTCTCACAAGAGCATCAACAGATTTACATGAACTACGACTCATTTATCTTGTAAAATGAAGTAATTATACCGTTGAATAGTTATATATAACTTCTGAAATGATAGTTTGGTTTTGTGACTACCAAACTATACCAATTATAGTTTATTATGAATGTTTTGTTAATTCCATTTATATAATCAAATATATAAATACATGTAGGTTATCTTGTCTAGATGTTTTAAAAGATTATGACATATAAACTTACATCTAAATACGAGTATAAAAACATTTAGTATGTTGAAGACAAATTCTGGTTTTTGACTTTTCTATCAATGTTTTTAGAAAAATTATAGAAAAATCATCGTAAGTTGAAATCTGGATCCGTAAACTCTCAGAACTTGGTAAAATGAGTCTACTTTGTCCATAATATTTTTCCCTGACATTAAGTGGTTTCTAACCAGAGTGAAAACGTTCATTTTTACAGACTGGTCCGAAAATATTCTGAAATGATAGGCAGTTTTGTAAAAATCACCATAAATTGTAGAAAAGTCATATGAACGCGTGCGAGTAGTCCTTAAATAGATGCAGACCTGAAATATTTGAATGTTTAACATTTTTGAAATATATTAAGTTTAATTAGGGTAAAACAGTTTGTGAACAGACCACAATGTTTCTGTAAAAAGCTGATTTTTTAGCTTAGATATGTTTTAATGACATAACTTGTATTTTAAGTTTGCAAAGCCTTTAGATCATCCAAATATGATTTGTATACTTGTAATCCCCCCTAAAACTTGGAAAAACTCGAAAATGAAGGGGTATGAACTCACCTTGTGTGGTTTTTGTGTGGTTTGGTTGAAGTGAGAAGATGGAGATTTCGAGCCTAACACTTGGATGGTGTTTGATGAGCTTCTCGAAAAAGTTAGCATCCTAAGGTTTAACACATAATAATGTGTGTAAGGATGATGAAACTAACAAAAACATGTATAAAAACACTATAGTATCATGAATTCCTTACCAAAAATCCGAAAATCACAAGAAGAAAAGGGAGTTCTTGGAGATCCTAGCTTGCTTTTGAGAGGAAAAGATGAGAGAGTTTGGAGAAATGAATTTTTGAGTGTGAAGGAGGCCTCTTCAGTCGAAGCTTATATAGAGGAAAGAAAAGATGGGTCATTGATACACGGAGGGTATTAGCATGGTTGGTATGGAGGTTTGTTGGGTAAAGGAGTGTATTGTATGGATACTTGGTGGTTAATGGTATGATTTGCATGGAGATATGATGGGTAATGGATTTTGTTGGGTAAAAGGTGGTAAAGTGGTTGCATGGTTGTTTGGTGGGTATTAGCATGGTTTGTATGGAAATATGATGGGTAATAGAAGGTAAAGTTGGTAGGTTAAATCATAAATTCAACTTCTTGAACTTTACACCCAACCGAGACCCTTAAACCGAGGAGTGGTTCTCAGGTTTTGAAGCCACCGAGATTTCGATCCAATGAGGCCGAGGACTAGGTTCTCGGTCCCAACTGAGAACCATGTGTGCGAGGTTTTCGGTCCGAGGGAGAGCAGTTCTCGATTGCAAGGCTTCTCTCCTTTAGGGCATCTTTGTCCAACTTAAACATTTCGAAGACCTTCTTCATGCAAATAAATTTTTAATATAGACCTTCAAATGTTTATTACACAAAGTCGTGATGTGGTATCTACATCACACATAACTATACTTTTCTTGATCCGAATTTCTCCAGTTGTCACATCACCCCCCCCCCCCTGTTAAAGGGAATTTCGTCCCAAAATTAGTTTTTAGAGTAAGCACTCATGAATTATGGAAGAGTTGTGGGTACTTCTG